CAGCAAACTTGCTAAGGATACACTCGTCCCCTCATCCAGGTCATTGATGAATATGTTGAACAGGACTGGACCAAGTATTGACCCCTGGGGGACACCACTGGCTCCAGCTTGAACCTGCTCCATTAATCATTACCCTTTGGGTCCTGTCACACAGCCAGTTCTCAATCCACCTCACTGTCCCCTCATCCAGCCCACACTTCCTTAGTTTCCCAATGAGGATGTTATGGGAGACAGTGTCAAAAATCTTGCTGAAGTCAAGGTAGATGACATCTGCTGCCCTCCCCTCATCCAACCAACCAGTTATAGCATGATAGAAGGCTATCAGATTGGTCAAACATGATTTACCCTTGGTAAACCCATGTCGCCCACTTCCAATAACCCCCCACTCTTCAACTTGTTTGGAGATGACATCTAGAATGATGTCATCTCCATTACCTTCATTACTTTCCCAGGGACGGAGGTGAGACTAACTGGTCTGTAGTTCCCAGGGTTCTCCTCCTTGCCCTTTTTGAAGACTGGAGTGATGTTGGCCTTCCTCCAGTCTTCAGGCACCTCTCCTGTTCTCCATGACTTTTCAAAGATGATAGAGAGTGGCCCAGCGATAACATCTGCCAGCTCTCTCACCACTCATGGGTGTATCCCATCTGGGCCCATGGACTTATGAATGTCCAGTTTGGCCAAGTGGTCCCGAACCTGGTCCTCCTCTACTAGAGGAAAAACTTCCTCTCTCCATACCCTCCCTCTTGCCTCCAAGGCCAGAGATTCATGAGGGGTAGTCTTAGCAGTGAAGACTGAAGAAAAGAAGGCATTCAGCAACTCAGCTTTCTCCGTGTCTTACACCACTTACACCGTTCATCACTTTATCAACATCGAATTTCATTTGCCATTTTATCACCTACTCATTCTGAAGCCTGAGAGCCTTCTGCAGCTTCCTCCAGCCACCTTTAGATATTACGACTGCTCTGAACTATTTTCTCCATCTGAAAATGTTGTCACCATGTTATTTCCTCAGTCAATTTTTTCCATCACTTATGAATATGCTGAAAAATCCAGCCCCAGAAGAGATACTTGCAGCATCCAGTAGGCAATCTCTCTGTATTCTGGAAATTTGCCAGTTAGTCTTATCTTTGCTTCCCAGCTTTGCAAGTTATTGATCTGTTATAGCTCAGTGTCTTTGAAAACTCTGTGATAGGTCTTCTTAAAAGCTTTTTTGGATTACATTATATTGATCAGATCACTGTTGTCCACGTAAACCGCCTCTCCCCCCAACAGCTGCAACAGATTTCTGAGCTACGACTTTCCTCTAAAAAGCTATATTGACTCTCCCTCAAGTTGTTGCAGTTATCCATGAGTTCCCCAAAAATTCCATGTTTATTACAATTTCTACAACTTTGCTAGGTGCAGAACTGAGACCTCTAACTCTGGAGATCCTAAGATGAGTGACTGAGCCTTTCAAAAGTGGATGCTATCTGTGCCACTTCTGTTCCCTTGGTAGGTAAGTAACAGGTCACAGTCCACTGTCAGCAGGTCTGAAATGTCCTGGTGGAGTTTGGTGAGGGCTCCTGGGCAATGGCCTCTGGTCCTGGAGGTCTGGAGCTATTAATCTGAGGATGAGGTCTGCAACTTCTTTGCACTGACTTCTCATATTTAATTCCTGCCACAGGGGTTCTGCGGTGGAAACCCCCTGCACCGCTGCTCCCGTGGCACAGCAGTACCACGCTGGGCTCATGTGGTGCTCCTCCCTCTGCCCCCAGCATCCCTGGTACATGTTCTGCACAGCCTAGAGGTGCTCTGGCAGACTTTCCATTTCTGATAGCTGTGAACAAGGTTTTAATGATAGTTTTTATCTTTCTCAAGTTACTTGGTAAAATTATTTTTGGCCTGCCTTTTGTGGTTTTACATTCCACTTGCTGAAATACGTAATGCTTCTTTTTTTCTTTTTCTTTGAAGGTGATTTCTACATTCTGAATGGTATCCAATAGTCTCCTCTCCTCTGTTCGGTGTCCCTTCTGGCTCTTTTGACCACAGTATTTGGCTATGGTTAAGTTGATTATATTTATTGCAGACCTTTATCACAGAGTCTGTAAATGTCATCCCTACATTTTACTCTTTTGCTTGCTACTTTTAACCTCCTCTTAACAAGCTCTCAGTGGATGTTTCCTACTGCTTCTACTCATACAGTTCGCTGGTCTCCCTGAGCATGACACATTCAGGCCACCAACTGTACTGCTTGACTGATAATAAAGCTTTTGCAATATATTTCTCCTCTCTACCTTATTTGGTAGCAATGCTAGCCATTTTCAGTCCTGGTTCTTTTTCTTAGGATTTTGAATTTTTAGGACTTCAAAGATTCCCCATCTTGAAGGACTAAGCTGGGACTTGCATGCCCCCGTGTCTCTGCTGCATACCCTTCAGGTTTGAATACAACCCATCCCTGTCCATCGCTGTTGTGACTGCACACACCAGTGTCCTGGGTCTGTCTGCATCAAATAGAGATCTCCAAGTTTGTGCAGGTCCTATCGACTCCCAGTTTCTTCAGCTAGTAATAAATCTGACCTTTCTATCCCAACACTGTTCTCCTCCCAGACACAGAGGCTGTTCCTCCATGCCTCTGTGTATGGTGTTGGGATCATTTTAGAGAATTGCTTTGTGGACTCTGATCTCTAACCTCCCATGTGACAGTGCACGTTTTGGGACACCTTTGGGACATTCATCTTGCACTGCACTCAGGACCACAACTCCCACAACTCAGAGACTGTGTTGCATCCGTATGGCTGTACTTCACACCACACATTTTGGGATCCAACTAGCCAGTAAATCTCTCATCACTGCAGCTGCCCATTGCTGTGTGGGACCCCTGCACTGGCCCACTGTCTGCTTGGGAAGGTTCCTCTGTGGGATCCATCAGCCCCTTCCCCAGGCTGGGTGCTCTGCACCCATGAGATTTCCCTCCTCCACAGCACAAGAGCTGCTGGACCGGCGATGAGGGAGTTAGGATGTCCCTACAAGCCTCACTGATGTATTTCTCTGCTTCCCTCAGACATACATTGTCCCAGAGGTCTGAAGTCTGCCTGCAGCCACTGAACAGATAGCAAATGAACCTGGGCAAAAACCTGGAAAGTCCCTTTTGTGCAGCATGTCCCTGCACAGAAGAGCTCTCCTGTGTATCTCTGATATCTCTTGTGGCTTGCCTAATTCTTCATTTCCCAGGACACCCACATGCCCATTATTGCTTTAAAATGTTTGCAGACAGTAGTTTTAAAGTTACTTCTCTCTTTATCATCTTGATAGCATCTTGGGACAGGCTGACATGGTTGTAATGAATCACAGTGGGGAAAAGGGAGCTACAGAGCAACACAAATCTGGCTGAAGAATGACATAGTTCCTAAGTGAGGTTTGCACCAATCAATGTGAAAACTATCCAAACCAGCTATTTTTGCGTATTTTTCTCCCTACTCTGAAAAGTACCCTGGAAAGCTGCTCCCTCCTCCAGAGCACCAGCAGGACCCACAGGTGTGATGCAGAAGTCTGTTCTGCTCCACCTGCAAACTGGATTAGTGTTCAGGTGGCTGCAGCCAGCAATGTTAGCTTTATGCCACCATTTATCCCATGTTTTCATCAGACGTGTCTAAAAGCTGCTCCTGGATGCTCTCCAGGCATGTGTGGAGCCGGGGAAGAAGCTGCCAGACATTAAGAGGGAAACAAAGTGATTTAAGCCTGAAATTATGTCCACTTTGTCCCCCTGCGACTCTGGCCAGAGAGGAGATGCTTGGGACACAGGTCTGGATGGCATGGCACATGTTAAGCCCTGCAAGAGCTTTCAGTATCTATCAAAGTGGAGCTGGCAAAAAGCAGGGGACAGGGCTGTGTAAAAGAACATGGAATATTAGTTGTGCAGTTTAAATAAAACGAATTGCTTACTGTTAGATTGCATTAGTGTACTACTTACACAGAACTCACCCAGCATTAATAGCTGAAGTTGCTGAAGCCTTAGGCTGCAAGCTACAAACTTTGCCCTGAATTTATTTTGAACCCCTCCTTACTTAATGCAAAGGAGGGCCCTGAGACCGGTGCAAACCAGGAGATAAGGAAGCTGCATCCCGATGGGATAAGAACGGTTAGTGGACATCTGGAGACAGAGGAAGAAACCAATGAAGGATAGGAAAACCCCAGACCAGAGCTTGCCATTGAGCCAAGGGGGACCTGCAAGGCGCCTGAAGGGCAGGTGCATAAATTTCAAGGGTACTGTTGCCTAGGAATTTCTCTGTTCTCAGTCCCTCTTTGGACACACCCAGCCTCATCTGTAGCACTATGAATAAAAATTACTTTATAGAAGAATCTCCTTTTCACTTATTGATTCAGCAGAAGCCTAGGCTGTAACCCTGTTATGGTGGCTGGCATATCAAGCCCTGTCTGCCTGCACCTCTTGGCACACCTTGAAGGTGAAGGTCATCCATCCATCTTGGGTGCAAACCCCATTGCACCCAAGCTCATCACTGCATCCCCTCTCCTGCTGGGTCACACCTCAGAGCAGACTTTCACCTGGGCTGTTTCTCAGCTCGACGCACAGCTCGGTGGTTCAGTGCGCTTTGTGCTGAGCTGGGTGCTCGTTGCTATAATTTCACCTGTTTATATCCCTTAATCTGTATTTGTTCCCCTGGAAGTGCAGGGAGACACATTAGAGCAGAGGCACTAGGTAAATACCGCCCGCTCCTCTCCCCACCGACGAGCCCGGGTAAACAGAGCCGACTGCCAGCCTGTGGCCAGGAGGGCACAGGCGTCCCGCGGCCGCTCCTCCCCAGCGTTGCAGGGAAATAAAAGCCAGGGCTGTCGCGTGTTGCAAGAGCAGGACGGCAGCAGGGAGGTGAAGCTCCAGTGGCCGGAGGCTGGGTGCTGTGGCCTGTCTGATGGTGCACCATGGGCGGGATCAGCCACCACCACTATAAATAGCAGCAGTGGAGCCGCACGGCCAAAGCGAAAGCTGAACCCCAAAGCGTGGAGCCACAGCGAGGTACGGGGTGGGGCGAGCAGCAACAAGGAGGAGGCGTGGTGTGGGTGTCCTGTGCTGGGGAGCCCCGCCGCATGTGCTCAGTGCCAGCACAGCGCCCGGCACAGACAGGAGGTGGACAACGGCACTGGGGTGGCTGATAAGGAGACCCCAGCAGGCACTGGGCAATGGCCGAAGCTCAGGTGGGGCTGCCGGGACCCTTCCCGGAGCCCCCGGTTGGTCCATGCCACGTCTCAGACTCTGACTCCGACTCCGAGGACACGGCTGTGAGCAGTGCAGGACCCGGTGCTGGGGCACAGAACCCCTCGCAGGTCATCCACAGTGGCCACTTCATGGTGTCATCCCCGCACAGTGACTCGCTGCTCCGCCGGCGCCACCACCATGCTGAGCCCAAACCAGCAGATCCCCGGAGCATCGACCCGACCCTCACCCGCCTCTTTGAGTGCATGAGCCTGGAGTACAGGTGAGTCCCAGATCCGTCTTGCTGGTGTACATCTCACAGACCCCCCAGCTCCTTTAAGGTATGAGGCTGTCTGAGCCCTACTGCCCCTCCAGGAACCTGCTGCTAATTGCCAACTGACACTGTCCTCATCTTCTTGTCTGTTGGGTTGTGATGTGCAATCTGCTAAAAAACCACCAACCTGGGAGGTTTCAGGGAAAAAGAGCTGGTGCTGGGTTGTTGGCCATGGTGCCAGATGAGAAGTTCCTCCTTTCTTCATATGTAGCTTAACCCTCCTCCACCTTCCCATGAGATCTGGAGTCACTGCATCTGGCATTAGCACCCTCATGGCTAGGTCCTGCACACCCTGTAGAGCAGCAACAGCCAACCTGCGGGCAGCCAACGCTCAGCCTTAAGCAATCCAGCCCAGAGCAGGAGTCCTGCCTTCCTGTCCTTGACTCAGTCTACATACTCTGAGGCCAGGCCATGCAGCAACAGTTTGGGCTGGATGGCTTCACTGGGCTTTGTTCAGGGCCTTCTGAAAGCTTCCCCACTTCTCTCCTGCAAAATCAAGTGGGTGACTGCACTGTTCCCCCAAACACACCTATCACCCAAGCCCAGGATGCTAGGGACCTGTTCATCCCACAGCTCCCCAGTGACAACAGGAGAGACTGCATCGTGTCTCTTAGCACCTTGGTCCACACTCTTGAAGGCAGCTCCCCTTTTTTGCCAAGGCTTTGAGGTCTCTCAAAAGCATTAGGGTAACTTGCTTTTCTGGCATCAGTGCAAAACTGCTTGCATAGCTTTCCCAAAATGTCCAGATGAAAACCTGGAATGATGATGTCCTACTGATGTCACATGAAAACAAAACATCAGCAAAACAGCCTTGAAGAGTTGTCCATTGCCTTGTTCCATGCAGGGTCTCATTCAGTTGCTGACCTCTCAGGTATTTGAAGTCCTTGAGTGCTGAACACGGTGGAATATGTGGTCGCTGCCAGAGTAGTCCTGGTGACGTCAGACTCTGGGACAGCACTCCAAGGGTACTGGTTGCCACATAGCTGTGTACATTTGGCCCATCGCCACATCCTAGATTGCATGGTTTGCTCACAGCCAGTGTGGCACAGCTGTCCTCTGAGGTGCTGGTGCTGCGGGAGCACCATGAGCTTCAGCATGGGGTGACCCAGCTGAGAGTCATGCTTCCTCATCAGGCAAGCCACCCCTAAGTGCAATACACAGGGGACATTGACTCTCTTTTGCTCTCCCAGCCCCAAAGTAGCCTTACTCTGAGCCTTGCAGCTTGGGGCTGGAGAAGCAGACTGCTTGATCCCAGGGTGCTCAAGATCTTGACTCCTGAGATGCACCACAGCTTTCATGTGCCTCTGAGCTCTGGTTCTCCCCAGGTGGAGAGGAGAGGGGTAGGGTGCAAGTGCTTTAGCAGGTGGATGCCACCCAGGACTGGCCATTATGTTGCAGACAAGGCTCCATCACTCCAGTTCTCTCTACCACCTGGGCTCTTTCAGGACCTTGTTTCCCTCCTGCACTGAGCATGACAATGGCCCCAAGCCCAGCACCATGGCAAACTGTAACTGCCATTGGACAGTAACGTCGCTGAGGAGGATACACATCAGCTACAAAGCATTAGTCCCACCACTGATGGCCACTCTGGAGTCCAGAGCACTGGAGATGTCTCCTGGCTGGCTTGATGCAGGACTAGGTCTTGCTCAGCACTTATGGGAGCAGTTCTTGGTCTGCCGTGGAGCCAGGGTAGCTGCAGGCCAGGGAAATGTTGACATTGAATGTTCTCCAAACTTCATGCTTGGTTCTTCCCTCCTGGAGTTCCTTCCATCCTTAGATGTTCTCCCCCTCCAGCTCTCAGCTGTCATGCTCTGAAGCTTGCCAGCACCCTAAAAACAGGATGACAAGCATTGATCAGAGAACAGGTTCAAGGGAATCTGGACCTGCAATACAGTGCTGGGTATGCATCTCCACAGGCGGGACTGGACTCTGGCTCTAGCACTGACCACTCTGCTTTTCTCCCTTTGGAAATCCACAGCAGCTTTGCTAGTACATTTTTGACAGACTTGTAAACAGTAGTTGAAGGAAGGTATCAGAGGGGGAAAATCGAGTTTAAAGATACTTGTCGCACCTCTACTTTTAGTTTTATCTGATTCGGTACTTCTCTGCATCATCTTCCATTTCACAGCTTCCCTCTCAGCCAAGTTCCTCAGAAGTCTTGGTGTAGCACAGCCTCAGCTGAAGTGGCCGGCCAAATGTTCTCCAGTCTTCAGGAGGGCATCCACAGTTATGTTGTAGACTAACTCCCTCACAAAGCAGAAAGCATAGAAATGTATCAGCTGGGAGGCACCTCTGGAGTTCGTAGTCCAACCCCTGTGCAGGGCAGAGCTAACTCCAAAGCCAGATCCAGCTGTTCAGAGCCATCACTCTGATGGATGCAGACTGTGGATATTGAGCCCATCACCTGTCCACCCTGTCCCAGTCTTGCACCACCCTCACAGGGAAGAGTGCAGTCCATGGCTCTAATCGGAGTTTCCCTTGTTCCATCTTGTGTCTGTTGCCTCTTGTCTATTCTTGGTGCATGTCAGAGAAGTGTCTGGCTCCATCTCCTCTATAGCCTTCTTTGGGTAGTTGAAGGCAGTAAGTAGATCCTCTCTCCATCTTCTGTTCTTCAGCCTGAACAAATCCATCACTCACCATCTTAACATTCTCTTCCTGCATCTCTCAGTTTGTGTACCTCCCTTGTTTATCAGGGGGACCAATCTGGACACAATATCCAGACTGAGTAGAGGGGAACTACCAATTCTCCTCACCTGTTGGCTGAGCTGTGACTGTTGCAGCCACCCAACCCTTGCTGCCCAGGCTCCCACCATTTCAAAGGCAGTACACTGAACTTTCTCTATACAGTACAATTTTTCAGTGGCTGTAACTCAGTAGTCCTTTGGGTAGCTGTAATTTCTCCCTTCTCCAGAATTCCTCCACAGCACTTCACAGGCAGTTATGGCAGTTCTGTCTCAGCTTGAGAAATCACCCCCAGGATCTGATGTGTTATACCTCCATGGGCTGGACTGTGCATCACCCCGCCACTGGGAAAGAAACACTCTCCACATCAAGGTTTGCTTCTAGCAGTAACTTGTTTCTTCAGAGCCCTCAAAGGGAGGCAATTCCCCCTGCTGAGGTCCTGCTCCTGCTGCTGGGATCCCTGGCTGGGATGAAGCAATTCCCTGGCCCTTTGTACCGATTTTCCAGGACACTTCCAGCAGCTCTCCTGCCAAATATTTAATGATTGTCTTCAACTCTTTCTTCTCCTGCAATGTGCTGCATTTCTTAGACTGCTGTTTCTGATGAACTTCCCTGCAGAACACGTGCCCCCCTCCATGTTCCCCCAAAAAGCTGAGCACATGGAGCTGAGCTTTCTCAGGAGCTGTTCATAGTTTGGCCTTAGCACAATCTCCCCAGCTGAGCAAGGTCTTTCTCCCCATCACAGTGTGACTCCTCAATGGAGTCACTGGGTGCAGATGGGAACTGCGAACTGCAGCCACTCGTGGTCTTCTCTTGCACACATCTCTCTTGTGCTTCAGAAGAATCCTCCTACAGCAGTTCCTGGAGTGTCATGTACATTAACCTCCTCTTCTCCCCTGCAAATACCGAGAGGGGAGATTTAGGATTTAGCAGGTAGGGACATTAGACTGGTAAATGATGTGAAGCATTAACTCTGCCCCTCTTGTGATTTAAAACAAGGCAGGTTTTGAGTACACCCTTGCATGCTAATTCCCTACCAGCCAAGCTGATAGCAAGCTCTGAGGCTTTCCTAGAAGAAGTGGAAGTGATGCTATAGCTTTGCCATATGCTCAAATTGATTGTCTAATTCTCAGTGCCTTAAACACTCATGCAGAGGGGCAGAAAGCATCTGGACAGAGAGGATGACCCCGTCCAGACAGTGTGCTGAGGAGCTGGGCTGGGTGCGAGCCTATTCCCATGCTGATGCACAGTGGGGTCATACCTGCAGAGATCACCAAAATAACAGGTCATGGAGATGTACCTAGCTTGGTTCACAGCTGCCCAGCTTCCCAGACTGGGAAGAGGATTTAAACAACTTTTAATTTGCAAGAGGATTTAAACAACTTCCCTTCTCGTCTGGGACACTTGATGCTTGCTTTGCACAGTGGCTGCCCGAGAGGCAGAGCTGTAAAGGCAGAGGCACTCCTATACGTTTGTAAATACACAGAGCGGGTCCCTATCTTATCCCCAGTACAGTCTATTAACACCTTTGTTACAACAGAATTACCCCGCGTGCCCCCACGCCGGCTGCAGCACCGGCTGGGGCAGAGCTCACTCCCTCTGGAGGCCTGGCAGCCTTTGCATCAGCACAAGGCAGTAGAGAAAAAAGCTCAGTCACATTACAGAGATTTGAAGTTGGTTTTGAACACGGAGAGTTTTTGCCTGGGGGCACTTTTCAGGAAAACTGTGGTATGATTTTTAACTTTCTTTCTCAGACTCTGGATTTTAAAATGGAAACAATCAAGAAAAAAGCATGACTTTAGTAGCAAAATTTGTAAGAAATCAAATGTGAGCTTTTAGTGCTTCCAGGAAAGGCAGTTCCCTTTCAGCCACCCCTGGGCTGAGTTGTGTCCTGGCAGCGCAGGGGGCAAGGAGGGTTCTGATGTCCTGGGGGAATCCTGTTCCCACTGCCCTTGGGAAGGCTGAGCAGGTTTGGACCTGCCAGAGGACCCTCCACTCAGCTGTTCCCCTCTTGCTGCAGCTTGTTTCTCTTTGTGAAGCCCTGCATCTTGCCAGATCATTCCTTCCTCCCTCCTCCTGCTATTGATGGAGAGCAAAATACTCAATTTGCCATGAAAGCAAGTGCCACAACACCTTAATCTAAATGAATCATGGCACAAACAAGGTGCTACTGGACAAAACAGAGTCAGTGCTGACCCACACCGGGTTTGGTCCCAGGTGGAGCACTGGTGCCACCTCACCCCATCCCACAAAGACCCCTTAGCTGATGGAATGTGTCCCTATTCCTCCAGCAGCTTGGGACAGTGGGGCCCATTTGGGGCACCTTTCTCATGGTTCAGTGCAGGGTTTGCATCCATCTCTCTGGGGAGATAATTTCAGGGAAGGGTGGGGCCATATCCAAGGCAGACCTGGGAGCAAAGATCAGCCTGATAAGCCCCAAAACTGAAAGAATCGTTAACAGGGAAAAAAGGCAGTTGGTGGCAGAGCCCAAAGGCATCTCCCCTCTGCCTCCAGGTCCCACGGCAGCTCTGTGGCCACAGCCAGCAGACTCACGTGGGACCAAGGTACCCATCTGTGGCCACGAGCCTGCGGTCCATGGGCCCCGGCTGCTCTTTCAAGCTGGCTGTCGGGGCAGGCGGCACTGGTGAGGAGTGTGGCTGTGTAGCCTTGACCGGCAGGATCTGGCCACATGCCCAGAAAACCTGTTCCTTCCATTGGCTCCTCTGCTTTGTAACACTGCGGTGTTTGCCTTGTGCTGCCGGGGAAAGTTCAAAATCCTGGTGATAGCGGAGTGGCCAGTGCACAGCCAAGTCCTTAACTGTCTGCAGGCTGGAGCTGCGGGGACAGCGGTCCTTCCCCAGCCCCTAGGGCTGTGGGTCAGGCTGGGTCTCCCTGGGGAGACTGTCCCTGCCTACCCCTGGGGGTGGGAGCACCCGCTCCCAGACATGTCCCTGCGTCAGGCTCTGGAGCTGGATGGGCCCCACAGCGAGATGGAGCACAGCCAGTGCTCTCTTGTCTCCTCGTCCCAGCAGAGCTGTGCAGGACACGGGGCTCTCGCTGCCTGCATTGCTTCCTGCTCGGGTCCTGCCTCTAATGGTGAGGTCAGCACCCTGTCTGCAACAAGCCGCCTGCCCGCTGGGCTGCAGGGAGCTCCAAGCCCCGAGTCGGGCTCCGAGCCGCACCAGCACGGCCGCTGAAGGAGGAAGCCCCACTTGCCATGCCATGCCGTGCCGTGCCGTGCCGTGCCATGTTGTGCTGTGCTGCAGGAGGCCGGTGTCAAGTCGGGCTAACATAGAACCAGCCAGAGGCTTTGTTTGAGGGTGTGTGGAGTTTTCACAAGCTAGAACGAACAAGTGTGCGGCTTCTTAAAGCATTAGCCGGGCACTGCTCTCATCCCCAGCACCTCCCTAGGAACATGACCCTATAGCATCTTGGGGTGCGGCCAAGGGTGTGCTGGCAGCAGGGGGATACAGCAGCTCTACACCCAGCCCAGCCTCTACCTTTCCTCCTCCCTGCACGTACCGAGGATAAGTGGGACCCAAAGGAGCCCCAAGATATTTAAGGGACAAGCTCTTGGCTGGGGAGGGACACAACCTTCATAGGGAGGGACCCTATGCAGCCTCCAGCCTGCTCTCAAAGGGCTCCCCCATGCAGTCAGCATGGCCCAAGTCTGTGCCGTGGTGGGCAGGAGAGCCAGGGCAGCCCCTGGGCTCTCAGGAAGGGGTGAAAAGGACCCCAAATTGGGGCAGAGGGACCTCAGTCTCCCCTGAAGAGCTCCTGGGACATCAGGGCTCTCAAGACCTCCCCAGTGGGTACATGTGAGGGGCTCATGTCCCTCAGCTGGAAGAAAACAAGACGATTAGTGAAATGAGGCTGCCTGCGCTGCACGGGTGGCAGAGCAAACACGGCTGCCTCTGGGAGCCAGGAGATGGGATGGAGGGAGCTCAGCTCGGGCTGGGGCCAGGGTGAGGGGCATAGGTTTGTTTGCTGCCCTGTCTTCCCAAACCCATGCAGATGGCTGCCCCTGCCTGCCCACCCCCCAGCCCCACTGCTGCCCCTGCCCCCAGCAGAAGGCAGCTTTTCAAAGCCTTGTCTGGCATTAAAAGGACAGTCAGAAGTAGCTGCCCAAATGCTGCGATGAGGCAAGAGCCACAGCAACGCGTGGCCCCAGACGTTCTTGCCTGGGTGGGAGACATCTCTTCCCGTCCCTCGGATGCAGCTGGCCTGGTTGGGAGCAGCAGGGTCCCACCTTGGACCAGGGTTTGAGCCTCAATGAATCAATTCCCCTATGTAATGAGCTTTAATTCCAGGGACTTAAGAAGCCTCGTGTGTGTCTGTGGAGTTCCCAGTTTAGGTCTGTGCTGCTCTCAGGGTGAGCAGGAGCTCAGAGTGCTCCCATGGGTGCTCCCATAGGTGCCTGGCAATCAGCTTGCAGCAGAGCCACATGGCTGCGCCTGCTCCAGACTTGCCACCAGGCTGGTGGTGTGGAGCATCTCTCAAGGCTGCTCCCTCAGGAGATCCCGAACTGGGAGGACTCTGGAATGGTGACCCTCACCCTCTACTTTGCTTGGTGTTTTAGTGGGAAGCTGGTGTCTCCAAAGTGGAAGAATTTCAAGGGGCTGCGGCTGCTTTGTCGGGATAAAATTCGTCTCAACAATGCTATCTGGAGAGCATGGTACATCCAGTGTGAGTATGGAGCCAGACCTTCTGCATCTGCTGAGTGCCGGGTGATGCTGGGAGGAACAGAGCTGGCACTGGGGCAGCGATGCCCAGGGATGGAGCCATGGGTCAAGACAGTTGTGTTTTCCCCTGTGTAGATGTGGAGCAGAGGAAGAACCCTGTTTGCGGCTTCATCACCCCGCTGGAGGGGTCAGAGGCTGATGAGCACCGAAAACCAGAGGTAGGGTGTTGTCCCTCACAGCTCTCCGGGCCAGGAGCAGGTCTGGGGGGTGCAGGTGGGAGCTGGGGACACACAGGAGGCAAAGCTCATTGTATTTCATAGATCTGATGGGAAAGATATTTCTGACATGGCACAAGGAAACCAGTCCTGGTTGCGGGATGCTGGGGCTTCGGTGCTCAGTCATGACCCCCTGTCCTGCCCCCCCAGGCTGTCGTACTGGAGGGCAACTACTGGAAACGCCGCATCGAGGTGGTGATGAGGGAGTATCACAAGTGGAGGATCTATTACAAGAAGCGGGTGAGTGGCTGTGCCATGCTGCTCCCTGTCCCATGGCAGTGCCAGCAATCGGAGGGGACATCAGCATGCCCAACATGAAGGCGTAGCTGACCAGGAATGGGATGTGGCAGGCTCTTGGCACCGTGGGAGGGGGATTCTGGCTGCCCCCATGGTGCCGGGGGGGGAAGTTTGGTGGAGACCCCATCACCAGCTGTCCGTGGTGCTGTGGTGTGCTCTGGCAGCCCAACCTGCCCGGTGTACAATCCCGGGCTGGGTTTGGCAGCGCACCAACAGCACACACATTGGGGTGGGTCAAGCAGATCCACAGCTCACCCACAGCGCTCCAGCTGGGCTGGGATTTGCTGGCATGCCACTGGCAGCCACATCTCACCCCGGCAGCACGTGCTGCCAGGCAGGCCGGGTGGCTCTCTGTCACTCCAGGTGCCCGCTCTGGGGCATGCTGGCACCAAAACCCTGGCTGCCTGCCACACGGGGTGGAGCACAGTCCAGCCTCCTCCCCAGACGCTTGCTCAGGACCGATAAAGGTTGGGGTGCCACGGGCGGGCAGGGTGCTGGCAGCCTCTCACCGCCACACACCACTAGTCCCATCACTGCAGTGGCTGGTCAGCCCAGACCCCCTAGAGTAAAGGCAGATGTGAACCACAGATGTGGCCACACTGAGACCCTGAGGGACCCCCCTCCTGAGTGCTCCCCTTCTCTGCCCTGTCCCTGGCTCTGCCCCATGCTGTGCACACCCTGGCTGGGGAGTGACACGGGCTGCCTTCTCCTTCCAGCTCCGAAAGTCCACCCGGGAGGGAGAGCTCTCCAGCCCAAAGCAGGTGAGTCTGCTGGGGAAATGTGGGGAGGGGGAAAAAGAGGGGTGCGACGCAGACCCTTGCAGTGGGCAGCTTGGGAGAAGGGCGGATGAAAGCTCCAGGGCATGACGAGGCCAATGGGATGGGATGCCAAGCACTTGAGATGCCAGATTCACCCTTCTGGAAGCACCGATGTGCAAGTTGTGAAGCTTGTGAGCGATAAACACTGCAGGGAGCATGGGAACTGCCAGGGAGAGCAGGTGGGGAGCCAGGCATGGATCCTACCTACAAGAGGTTCCTTTGCTCCATCTCATGCAGGATGAGGATGTCTGGAGGCCAACAGAGAAATGGTGCAACCAGCTCTTCTGCAACGTTGTGCCCATGCTGCTTGGGGATGAGGAAGAGGAGCCAGGGGGCAGGCAGCACTTCGACTTGGACACTTTCCTCTCAGACATCTCTGACACCCTCTTCACCATGACACAGACGCCCAACACCCACGAGGCACTCCCCAAGGATGGTAGGAACCCCAAACTGCTCTCACTGGAGGTGGAGAAGGACTCCAGGTGGACAGCACGCTTGTAGTACCTTTCTGCCTCTTGGCTTAGCCCCTGCTTAGCTACTGCCTATACCCTTTGGGCAGACAGGATCCCCTGGCATCCATCCTGCTCCATTTGGGTAGGGTGGGAGCATCCTCTCCTCTGGAGGCTCCCTACAGACCAACCTGGGCTGGCCCAGGCGGGATGGGCTGAGCTGCTGTGGAGGCACTAGCCCCATGTAGCACTAGCCCCACTAGCCAGGGCTGCCAGCCCTGGGTAAGCAACAGGCAGGTCCTGCCTTCCATGGCCAGTCTTTGCTGTCCCTGCCTGCTCACTTCCCTGGAGCTCCTGTAGCAGGTCTTGCGCCAAGGATCACACTTTCCCTGGGGTTCTTGGGAGCTGGATGAAGTCCCAGAGGTGCTGGTGGGCAGAGTGGTGGGGACAGGGTGTCCCTGGGTGTCTGCAGGGTGGGGTTCCCATCTGTTTTCCCATGCACGGCTTTGGGATAGGGTGCAGCAATGTGGGGTGACTCTGGGGTAACATAGAGGGTCGGCAGCCAGGCAGGTGTGAGGGCAGTGTTTTGAGGAGCCCTGAGGAAGGATCTTGGGGGTGCAGTGTCTGAGCCCCATTGTTGCAGCTCTGCCCTCTTCCAGCATATGTTGGGAATGCTGACATGATACAGCCAGACTTGGCACCCCTGCAGCCCAGCCTGGATGATATGGAGATCTCAGGTAAGAGCCAGCCCAGATACGGTACCATATCCCACACAGCCCAGCACACTGTGCACCCCACGGCAGCCAAAAATGGGCTGGCCAGTGGCGAGGGATCAGCAGGAGCTGCTGGGTCAGCCAGAAAGCACCAGACATCCACTGGCATGGAAAAAGCAGCATGCATGGGTGCTGTGGCCAGGCGGTGGGGCAGGAGTCTGGCATGCCTGCCTGCACCCAGGGCAGAGCCATTGCAGGTCAGGAAGGGTCTGGCCAGGAGGTGTGGGAGGGCATTTCTACAAACACAGGGTCTTTCCAGGAGTGCCAAACCACCTCGTTTTTGCTGCAGACAGAGGAACAACAGCACAAGAAAGTGGATACCTCTAGAGAGCAGGTTCTGTGCTGCTGTGTCCCCCTCCTCACCCTGCTCCCCAGCCAGCTGAGCAGGCCAGGGGACTGGGTCAGAGCTGGGACCCCATCCTGCACTCTGCTGTGTCCTCTGGGGACAGGTCACTGTCCCTGTCAGGTTGGCCCAGAGACAAACCTGGCACTGGTATCCAACTGCAGCAAGGGGGGACACCAGGAAGCAGACAATGGCAGCCTCCTCCCACGGGGCTGCCACCCATGCTGCCATGCAGGCTCTGAGCCATTAGTGACTGTGGAGACATGTTCTGCTCCCAGCCATGCTGTGCAGTGTCCTCATATGCCTAGGCAAGGCACCACTGGCACATGCTGTGCTGGGGACCAGCTCTGCCCCCAAACATGCCAGAGCTGGTGGCCTGGGCACACTTTACAGGGTGGGAGTCAGTGTGGCTGAAGCCCTCCGAGACAGCTGGTGGCCTCGGGCAGAACCAGCATCTCTAGACCCCTCTGTGCATCTGTGAGCACCCTGTGAGCTCCACAGCTGGTCTCCACTTCCTTCAGGAGGAGGAAACAAGGATGCTTGCGCCATTCAGCTGCTGGGTGATGCAAGACCAGATGCTGACAAGGAGCAGGCTGGGCACTCTGATGGAGTGGGACAGGTGGTGGGATGGCCCAGGGACGTATGTGGGGGGAAGGCTGTTGCCTGCTCTCCTCAGCGCATTCCCTCCACAGGTCCCATTAGGGTGAGCTCTGCTAGAAAGAGGGTCTGTCCCCACTACAGGCCCTTTGCCTCCTGTCCCCAGGCGCCCCATATGGGCATCATTCACTGGGAGGTGGGACAGTTCCAAATGGGTCAAATTGACACTTGACAACTGTCCCTTCCCTGGAGAGGTCCTGCATGGTGCTGGAATGCTGCACCAACCCCTTTCAAGCAGCACCTCACAACTACGATGTCACAGCAGCACCCCCAGCACCTCTTTGCGTGGGCCCAGCTGCTGTTTGTGCCACCAGTGCAGCACAGCCTTGTGCTCAGCGGGAGATGGCAAGGGGCATAGCGGTCCCCATCTGAACCAGTATATTTCAATGAACAGCCAAGTTGTCTTTCCTGGGGAAAAAGTCTGCCTTTTGTTCCAGGGTCCTGCCTGGGAATGGGATGGGTCTTGCTGCAAGCCACTACATGGCAGAAAAGCATCCCTTCCCACTCTGCCCATGCCCAGTGGCTCTGCATGGGGGGACTGCTGGGGCTGGGGAGGATCCAAAGCCCAGTTAGGGTCAGGGAGGGCATCCCAGGTATGGATGGTTGTCTGCCCAGGTGCAGGCTGCTGAGCCTTGCAGAGAGCCTTGTGTGCACTGCGGCAGGGCAGCAACCTATGGGGTGCTCAGAGACTTGTGGGTGGGAGTTTTGTCCCAGCCATGGCATTTCCCAGGACACTGCACGGAGCAGCTCGCCCTGATGACAAGAGGTTACGATGCTGCGACAGCCAAGCGCTGCGTGCAAGCCATGTGCACACTGGTGGGATGTGGGCACACAGGGCAGAGGTGTAGGGGCAGAGGGGTGCACACACCATGCGATGGGCAGCGCCGAGGCTGTGTGCCCACAGGGCCATGGGAGGTGCGGGGAGAGGAGATGGGGGAAAAACCCTGGGTGCGGATGCCAGCCAACACAATTATGTCCCCAAGGCCACTTTTCTAGCAGGGCATGGGATAGCTTTTTGTGGCTCAGGAGCAGGAAGCCTCGTGCAGAGAACCACAGGCTGGGCACCACAATGGCCAGGTCACAGGGCTGTCACTGTGTCTGGTGGCTGTGGCAGAGCTCAATGCCTGTCACTCAGTGTATGCAAACCAATCCCCAAATGAGGAAGCACCTCGTGTCTGCAGCGGGTGCCAGAGCGTGGTGTGGGGCAGATGGAGAAGTCTTGATGGCAGAAGCAAGGCAGCAGCCCAGCCCCATGCCCTGCTGGCACCGTGCTCCAGGTAGGACCTGCACTTATCAATGGGGAGCTGGGCTGGCATTCCTGTGGGGCAGCATCACCCCACAGCACTGCAGGGCTCCCCCAGAGCCCAGGGCCAGTGCTGGAGGGTCCTTGGTTTGGGACTGGGATTTGCAGCCCCAACCCCTTTGGAGAACAGCCCCAGGTTTGAACAGGGTGCCAAAGGCATGGTGTGACAACCTCATGGGCTCTTCTCCCTTGAGAAGCAGCATGCCCTGGCCACACTGCGTGGCCTGGAAGCAAGTCAGGGTGAGGTGACAATGGATAGGAGCGTCGTTGAGAGCTGAGGGGTGGGGAAGAAACAGGAGAAAGGAATGGCAGGGTGACCAGGAGCTGCCCACTGCTGTGCCGGGTGGCATCCGCCATTTATCTCTGCAGCACAGCGAGAGGCACAAGAGGAATTGAATCTGCAGAGCTGGACACCAGAAATAACTATAAATAGCCACAGAATTTTGGTGCTGGTGGCAGGGGACAGCCTGGCATGGGCATGTCAGAGGGCTGGGGGCAGCGTGGAGCTGGGTGCTGTGCCCTGGGGAGGCTGAGACCCTGCCTGGCAGCACCACAGCCCATGTCGAGTGCCAGGCCATGGAGGGGCAGCGGTGGGTCTGTCATGCTCCCAGGCATTCCCCATGTCCCTGGCAGGGGGAAGGGGCAGTCTGAGAGCTGAGTGGGGCAGCCCAGTGGTGGCACTGCCCTGTCCCGCACCGGTGTTACCATCAGCTGGCAGCACATGGCACTGCTGGAATCATCACTGTGCTCAGCCCCATGACATCCCTCTCTGCTGGCTTGTTTGGTTCTCAGGTGTAGATTCAGGAGGGTCTCAGACATTTGCAGGTCTCAGCCAGGGCACCCCAGGGGCTGGAGCCTGTGCCAAGAGCCTGGAGGGAGATCAGCCCTGCTGGTGCCTGTGGCATGGCTGTGCACACCCAGCAGGGACAGCCAGCATGTGCTGGACTCTGTTGGCAGCAGCACAGGGCCTGGAGGCAGCAATGGTCATACCAGTTGAGGGCTTGGGAGCATGGCTTGGTGCTCCCCAGAGGGGATATGAGTGTCTGTCCCAGGACGGCTGCTTGGGCACACAGCCTGTATCAGGGGCTGTTGGGCAGCTGCCTGCAAACCCAGCCAGCACTCCTGCTCTATCTTACAGGAAAGCAACCAGCAGCTCCATCCCTATCCAACAATCATCCTCTACAGAGAAAACACTCCTGGTGGTGATGCCCGAGCCAGGGCTGGCACAGGCAGCGGTAGTGCCAGCACTGAGCTGAGGTGTGCGTGAGGCTGATGTGTCCGGGGAGCTTGTTTCACCAGTGAGGTGGCTGCCTGACGTGTCAGACCAGCCCTTTGTGCTGCGTTGTCTGGGCCTGCGGAAGGAGCAGGGTTGTGGGAAGGGGAGAGGAAGGGAGAGGGAGTCGCGGCAAGGTCACGGGGCTCGTCTTCGGGAAGGCCATGGGATGTGGTTAGCCACAGGCTGCACGCACAGCAGCACCGGGGCAGGGAGACGAGCACTTGTCACGACCCCAGGGGACTGTCCCTTGTCCCAGGGACATTGTGACAATCCTCTGAGACCGAGCTGTTGCTGGTGTCGCGGTCCCTGCTCCCTGTTCAAGAGAAGCAGGATGGCCACACCCACCCCAGGAGCAGCCCTGGCGCTGGAGCACCTGGTGCCCAGCTGAGTGTCGGGGATGAGGACGGGGTCCCCACCCTTCGGTGGCACCCCGTGTGGGTTTTCCTGTCCCCATGCATGTGGCAAGGCTGGTCCCAGGCATGTGGACTGCCTCTTCCCCCCACACTCCAGTGTTTCACAACCCAGGCACCAGATCCATTGGTGGAGCTGGGAGCTGCCCCAGCCCCACAAGGTGAAGGCAAGAGTGGCAAGTCTCCGGCAGTGCTGGTGATGGGGTACTTCTCCCCCCAGCATGCCCCAGGGCCTGTCATCCTTCTCCAGGAAGGTCCCTTCACGCCTGTCATTCTGTCTCTACTTGGCCCTGCAGATATTTTCACCAGCCACAGGCCACCACTATCACAGACACAGCTGGGCTACCAGGAGCCGCCCTGCTTCATGCCCATGGCCGAGCCCCTGTTCGACGGCGGGGGGTCCCTGATGGGTGTGCGGGGGCTGCCTGCCAGCTCTGAGGCTCCGCTTCTACCCGGCACCCTCCTTCAGGTGAGCGGGACCCCAGCCCACGGCCTGCAGCTGCCGGTGCCCCAGCCACCCTGCCTGACCCTCCCATGTCTCCCGCAGCCTGGTGGTGCCTCCCAGATCGGCCTTCACGGCACCTTCCTGGCCCCCGAGCTCCTTCCGACCCCTCTGGCCCCCGACCTCCCCGCCACAGCCCCCAGCGGCCTCAGCCCCCAGCTCCGACACAAGTCCCTGCTGCAGTATGGCCTCCCTGGCAAGTGCCTCAGCCTGGAGCCGCCAGGACTCCCCTACACACCCTCCATCCCGTCCCCCAGGGTGCCGCTGCCAAGTCTGGGCTCCCCGTTCTCCCCTGCCTCCGCTCCCAAGTTCTCCTGTGCTGGCTCGCCCGCATCCGCCATTTATCTCTGCAGCACAGCGAGAGGCACAAGAGGAATTGAATCTGCAGAGCTGGACACCAGAAATAACTATAAATAGCCACAGAATTTTGGTGCTGGTGGCAGGGGACAGCCTGGCATGGGCATGTCAGAGGGCTGGGGGCAGCGTGGAGCTGGGTGCTGTGCCCTGGGGAGGCTGAGACCCTGCCTGGCAGCACCACAGCCCATGTCGAGTGCCAGGCCATGGAGGGGCAGCGGTGGGTCTGTCATGCTCCCAGGCATTCCCCATGTCCCTGGCAGGGGGAAGGGGCAGTCTGAGAGCTGAGTGGGGCAGCCCAGTGGTGGCACTGCCCTGTCCCGCACCGGTGTTACCATCAGCTGGCAGCACATGGCACTGCTGGAATCATCACTGTGCTCAGCCCCATGACATCCCTCTCTGCTGGCTTGTTTGGTTCTCAGGTGTAGATTCAGGAGGGTCTCAGACATTTGCAGGTCTCAGCCAGGGCACCCCAGGGGCTGGAGCCTGTGCCAAGAGCCTGGAGGGAGATCAGCCCTGCTGGTGCCTGTGGCATGGCTGTGCACACCCAGCAGGGACAGCCAGCATGTGCTGGACTCTGTTGGCAGCAGCACAGGGCCTGGAGGCAGCAATGGTCATACCAGTTGAGGGCTTGGGAGCATGGCTTGGTGCTCCCCAGAGGGGATATGAGTGTCTGTCCCAGGACGGCTGCTTGGGCACACAGCCTGTATCAGGGGCTGTTGGGCAGCTGCCTGCAAACCCAGCCAGCACTCCTGCTCTATCTTACAGGAAAGCAACCAGCAGCTCCATCCCTATCCAACAATCATCCTCTACAGAGAAAACACTCCTGGTGGTGATGCCCGAGCCAGGGCTGGCACAGGCAGCGGTAGTGCCAGCACTGAGCTGAGGTGTGCGTGAGGCTGATGTGTCCGGGGAGCTTGTTTCACCAGTGAGGTGGCTGCCTGACGTGTCAGACCAGCCCTTTGTGCTGCGTTGTCTGGGCCTGCGGAAGGAGCAGGGTTGTGGGAAGGGGAGAGGAAGGGAGAGGGAGTCGCGGCAAGGTCACGGGGCTCGTCTTCGGGAAGGCCATGGGATGTGGTTAGCCACAGGCTGCACGCACAGCAGCACCGGGGCAGGGAGACGAGCACTTGTCACGACCCCAGGGGACTGTCCCTTGTCCCAGGGACATTGTGACAATCCTCTGAGACCGAGCTGTTGCTGGTGTCGCGGTCCCTGCTCCCTGTTCAAGAGAAGCAGGATGGCCACACCCACCCCAGGAGCAGCCCTGGCGCTGGAGCACCTGGTGCCCAGCTGAGTGTCGGGGATGAGGACGGGGTCCCCACCCTTCGGTGGCACCCCGTGTGGGTTTTCCTGTCCCCATGCATGTGGCAAGGCTGGTCCCAGGCATGTGGACTGCCTCTTCCCCCCACACTCCAGTGTTTCACAACCCAGGCACCAGATCCATTGGTGGAGCTGGGAGCTGCCCCAGCCCCACAAGGTGAAGGCAAGAGTGGCAAGTCTCCGGCAGTGCTGGTGATGGGGTACTTCTCCCCCCAGCATGCCCCAGGGCCTGTCATCCTTCTCCAGGAAGGTCCCTTCACGCCTGTCATTCTGTCTCTACTTGGCCCTGCAGATATTTTCACCAGCCACAGGCCACCACTATCACAGACACAGCTGGGCTACCAGGAGCCGCCCTGCTTCATGCCCATGGCCGAGCCCCTGTTCGACGGCGGGGGGTCCCTGATGGGTGTGCGGGGGCTGCCTGCCAGCTCTGAGGCTCCGCTTCTACCCGGCACCCTCCTTCAGGTGAGCGGGACCCCAGCCCACGGCCTGCAGCTGCCGGTGCCCCAGCCACCCTGCCTGACCCTCCCATGTCTCCCGCAGCCTGGTGGTGCCTCCCAGATCGGCCTTCACGGCACCTTCCTGGCCCCCGAGCTCCTTCCGACCCCTCTGGCCCCCGACCTCCCCGCCACAGCCCCCAGCGGCCTCAGCCCCCAGCTCCGACACAAGTCCCTGCTGCAGTATGGCCTCCCTGGCAAGTGCCTCAGCCTGGAGCCGCCAGGACTCCCCTACACACCCTCCATCCCGTCCCCCAGGGTGCCGCTGCCAAGTCTGGGCTCCCCGTTCTCCCCTGCCTCCGCTCCCAAGTTCTCCTGTGCTGGCTCGCCCAGCCCCTCGCTCCTTGCCCATCCTGCCTCCCCCCTCCCAACACCTTGCTCAGCGCCCCCCACCCTGGGGCTGGGCTACCCCGACGGCATGGTGCCCCCGGGGTATCCCGGCCCAGCCGCCCCCCAGCTCCTGCCCCCCACCCTGCTGGGCGACCCCAGGTTTGGCCCCCCCAAGGGGCCGCCCCAGGGCGGGGGCAGGCGGCCCAAGGTGAAGCCCAGCGGGACCAAGGCAAAGAGGCTGCCGGGACCCCCCGCACCGCCCCGGCTGGATGTGCCCGACCCCTGCCTGAGCCAGCTGCTGACCACAGGTGAGGGGGCCAGAGGGCACAGGGGGCTGCAGAGACAAGCCAGCGGCTGGGGGGATTCTATGGGGAGGGATCAGAGCGGGGACCTGCTTTCTCCCCAAGGTTGGGGGACACTGGGGATGCTGGGCAGAGCCAAATCCTGGGGTGAAGCCATTCCTGGAGGGAGCCGCCCCAGCTCCAGCAGCCTTTGGAGGGGCCCAGGCACCCCCAGGGCTTGGCCATGGGCACTGCTGAAAGGTCCCCATGTCTCCAGCATGGTCAGCACAGCTCTCCATGGATGGGCTGAGGGGTCACCAGCGTCCTGCCTGCCCGTGCTGCCCACGCATGTGATGGGACAGAAGTTGTTGTGTCCAGCCCCGTGCTGTGCTGGGGAGGGGCTGGGGGTCTGTGCCTGCACCATGGCTCCCCGGGATGTCCCCACTGCGGAGAGCAAAGGCTCCTCTGCCCAGGGGCTGCATCACCCTTCCCCAGGGCAGACGGGCAGGGAAAGGGCTGCAGCAACACCAGTGCTGGCGCTGGCTCTCCCCTGGGGCCAGAAAGGCTACCCGAGCCCTGACACCCTCACACAGCAGCACCCTTCTGCTCCCTGCCCTCTTGCAGACAAGCAGAAGCCGGCCCTGGATGCCCCACGCCCAATGGGCGCAGGACTCATGCCCGCGTCTCCAGTGTCCCCGGTAAGCACTCACCTACCCCCCAGGTCAGGAGTTGCTCCCCCAGATCAGTAAGTGCCCTCTCCTACTTGCGGGGGCAGGGGTATAGGTGGGACAGGTGGGGAGATGGGATTCTGGGGGGGTCACCAATTGCAATATGGGGTTGAACAGGCACAGGGCAAAGGAGTGCCCGGGGTGCCAGGAGTCACCTGAGTGTTCTCTCTCAAAGAAGAAACTGGGCAGGGGTGGGAAATGCCCTGCTGGCAGGGCCCCTTTCCTGGTGGTGCTCCCTGGGGGTGGTGGGGCTGGGGCTGACCCTGCAGATGGTGGGATGCCCCATGGGGACAGGGCTGCGCATTCTCCTCCCTGGTCCCCTCACGGGTGTTCAGCCATCAGTGCCCACACACCGACCGACCAAAGGGGAAGGTCTGGTCCCTGGGCATTTGTGGGATGCCAACCTCCCACTTCCCTCTGCCTTCTCCCAGCAGCAGAGCACTGTCCCCGACGTCCCTGCTGCCTTCCTCTCCAGAATGGACCAGCTGAGCCCAGGGCTGGCTCCTGGCTCCAGCCCTTCCCACACAGTGCCGGCTCCTGGCTCCAGCCCTTCCCACACAGTGCCGGTGCTGGTGCCGGTGCCACAGGCGAGCACCCAGCCAGGCCCACTGCTGGTCCCCAAGGCAGAGCGGCTGTCCCCCACGTCAGCTTGCGGTGAGTCTGGAGCACCCCAGAGCTCCACAGGACACTGCATTCCCTGCAGGGACCTTGGTCCACACTTTGAGCGAAAGTTTCATTTTGGCTTCAACTCTGGCTATTTACATTTACTCAGCTGAGCACAGATGATTTCTTTCCGTGGGGGAGAATACAGCCCCTTCACCTGCCTCCTTCTCCAGGAGCAAAAGCAGAAACAGGAAAAAAAAAAAAGGAGCAAAATGTCGGACTGTGGTTTTGAGAACCCAGAGCTTGGTTTTTGAGTGAAAAGCACCCTGTTTTCACCCACAGAAACCAGAGCGGTGGCTGGAAACAAGGCTCTGGTGTCATTCCCAGTTTCAGTTCGGTGCTGCAGACCACAGCCTTGCTGCCCTTGGGACTCTCTCCTGGTGATTCTCACCCTAAGAACTGCTGGGAATTTAAAATGTCACATCCCAAATGTTCCCATTTTTGAGCAGTTGTAAAATGAGTGGGATTTTGGATAAGACACAGTGATAAGATGTAGTCGGATGCTGGACCAGAGCAACCCCATCAGTGGAGTGGGTTGGCTGCCCGGGGGTGGGAGCATTGCAGGCTGCTCCTCTCCACCCATCCCAGTGCGGGACCCGGTATCAGCCCATCCCGAGGGGCTGCAGCTGCTGCCCCTCTCCCCAGAGCAGCCCCTTTCTTTTCCCAGGCAGCGACTGGCCCAAGCCCGGCCATGCTTCCCCGGGACCTGTCGTGGGGCTGGGCGCTGGCATCTCCCTGCACCATCCCATGTCCCATCGGGGCAGGCCTGAGTGCAGCAAGGTACAGCCAGAGCAAGAGCTGCCTTTGCTCCGGGGGCACCATCTCCATATGCACCCCACTTTACTGCTGCCCCCCTCCCCAAACTGCCCCCCCCCCAACCCTTGCTGTGAGTTTTGAGCCAGCCCATCCCCAATGGGGCAGGTGGCTCAGGGCTCTCCCCAGTGCCAGGAGGTGCCTGACAGCGCTTGCCCACAGATGGAGAGCCGCCGTATCACACACATCTCTGCTGAGCAGAAGAGACGTTTCAACATCAAGCTGGGCTTCGACACGCTGCACAGCTTGGTGAGCACGTTGAGTGCCCAGCCCAGCATCAAGGTGAGCACCAGTGGGTGGACCAGCCCTGGGCATGCAGGGTCACGTTGTATCACCTGGGGATGCTGCATCCCTGGTATGCCCCCAAGTAGGGGACTCCTGCCCTGCACCCAGCCAGCAGGGCAGGAAGCTGTGAGCCCACACCAGGCATACGGAGACCTGTCTGGTGCAGCCGTGCCAGGATGGAACACCGGACCTCGCACTGCCAGCCCCACTGCATGAGGCGCTGGGTACCCTAGACCCTGCCCACCCCAGGGGCTCCCTTCACCATCTAGCCCCTGTGGCCCCACAGGTAAGCAAGGCCACCACCTTGCAGAAGACAGCTGAGTACATCTGCAAGCTGCAGCAGGAGCGGGCGGCCCTGCAGGATGAGGCACAGCGGCTGCGGGAGCAGATTGAGGAGCTGAACAGCTCCATCAAGTAAGAGGGACATGGCCGGGGAGGCAGGAGGAAGCCACTGTCTGCATCGGGGTAGCCAGGCAGGGCAAGCGGCAGCCATGGGGAGGCAGCAGGATACAGCAGGTCTCCTGAGCACATCCCAGGACCTGGATTTGGCTCTGTCCCCCCTCAAACCCTGTTTCAGGTTGGGGGGAAGGTCAAGAGGCAGTGCTGTGTGGGACCAGAGTGCGGGGCCATGCACCACAGCTGCCCCGGGAAGCACCACACTGCCTGTCCAGCCCTGCTGAGAGCCAAGGTCCTGCCAGAGCCTCTCCCCATGGGGAGGCCCCTGCAACTTCCAGCTTCCTGAACACAAACCCATGGCACTGCTTGTGCCCCACAGCCTGTGCCAGGAGCAGCTGCCAGCCACAGGGGTCCCCATCACACGCCAGCGCTTTGACCAGATGCGCAGCATGTTCGATGAGTATGTCCGCTCCTCCACACTGCAGAACTGGAAGTTCTGGATTGTATCCTTTGCAGCCAGCACCTGCTTCTTGCTCTGACCCCTCCATCAAACACTGGGTCCTCTGGTTAACCTGCTCCTCCCAGATCTGTGGGGACCCTCTGGCTCCAGAGGCTCTGGGAACCATGGGGAGATGTTTCCCAGCCAAGGGCACATGGTGGGAACATACCGAGATGCTGTGGTTAGGAGGAAGCTTCTGCTACAAGTATGCAAACGGGGTAGGGGTGACTGGCAGGTCCTTGGGGAGAAGGGAAGTTACCAGTGGAGCTGAGGTCATGCAGGGAAGAGGTCCTGCTGTTGAGACAGCAGCCATCAACTAGGGATTAGACACACATCTGGGGACATGACGGCTTGGCTTTCGTAGCCATGTGGCACACTCTGGAAACACAGGTGTGCCCATGCCTGGGACACACGTCTAGGCTCCCACGCCCTTGGAGGAACCAAGGGCCAGGGAATGAGTGGTCAGATGGCTGGACCTGCTTCTCCTGCTTCTCCGTAAACAGGGACACTGGGACCATTAAGCCTGCAGAGACCATGAGGTCTACAAAACCCCGAGGGGCAGAGGGATAGACAAGTCATCCAGTGCAGGCAGCCCTGGCAAGGCAGATGTGACTCCTGATGCAGAGTTTGGGAGAGCTGTGGAGTTCCTTCCACAGGACACTGGAGATGCTAAAGCCAGCATGGGCTTCAGGACATGCTCATGGTGGAGGTATCTGCTGTGCATAACTACATGCACAAAATCACCAGTCCCTAGCCATGGTTCCTGCAGGTTAGGAGCACCAGGGGAGCACACTGAATACACTGGTGTCATTCCCTGCTCCTGGGCACTTCAGAGGACGCTGAGCTAGCTGGCTCCTTGGTCTGCTCTGGAAGACTTGCCTTGTGTCTAATCAACCATTTCAGGCAGCCCCAGTCACGAGGGGGCTTACACAGCTCTCCTATTGCCTGCCCCAGGTGACACTCAGGTCTCCATCACTCCATCAGTACAGGCTGGTGCCCAGTGTGGTGCTGTGCTGGGGAAGGCTCCCAGCAGGTCTGCTCCATGCCAGGCAGGAAGGTTTGTCCTGCTGCCTGTAGGAGGGTGTTGCCCACACCTAGCAGGTGGGAGACCACAGTCTTGGCAAGGCAGGTCCTTAACTCCTCTGCTCCCATCAGTTCAGTATCATCATTCGGCCCCTCTTTGAGTCATTCAACGGCATGGTCTCCACAGCCAACATGGAGAGCCTCACCCAGACGTCTCTTGCCTGGCTGGACCAGCACTGCTCCCTCCCAGTGCTTCGGCCAAGTAGGTGGCCCTGCTCTTGTCTGTGGCCAGACTGACCCAGTGGCACAGACTGACAGAAAAACAGAGGGGAAAAAAGGACGGGGGCGTCCTGGGGGGTGGTGGGTCTGGCACTGCACCACGCTTCTGCCGCATGGGAGGGAAGAACCCGCGGGATATCCTGGAGCTGTGGGGAACATACCGAGATGCTGTGGTTAGGAGGAAGCTTCTGCTACAAGTATGCAAACGGGGTAGGGGTGACTGGCAGGTCCTTGGGGAGAAGGGAAGTTACCAGTGGAGCTGAGGTCATGCAGGGAAGAGGTCCTGCTGTTGAGACAGCAGCCATCAACTAGGGATTAGACACACATCTGGGGACATGACGGCTTGGCTTTCGTAGCCATGTGGCACACTCTGGAAACACAGGTGTGCCCATGCCTGGGACACACGTCTAGGCTCCCACGCCCTTGGAGGAACCAAGGGCCAGGGAATGAGTGGTCAGATGGCTGGACCTGCTTCTCCTGCTTCTCCGTAAACAGGGACACTGGGACCATTAAGCCTGCAGAGACCATGAGGTCTACAAAACCCCGAGGGGCAGAGGGATAGACAAGTCATCCAGTGCAGGCAGCCCTGGCAAGGCAGATGTGACTCCTGATGCAGAGTTTGGGAGAGCTGTGGAGTTCCTTCCACAGGACACTGGAGATGCTAAAGCCAGCATGGGCTTCAGGACATGCTCATGGTGGAGGTATCTGCTGTGCATAACTACATGCACAAAATCACCAGTCCCTAGCCATGGTTCCTGCAGGTTAGGAGCACCAGGGGAGCACACTGAATACACTGGTGTCATTCCCTGCTCCTGGGCACTTCAGAGGACGCTGAGCTAGCTGGCTCCTTGGTCTGCTCTGGAAGACTTGCCTTGTGTCTAATCAACCATTTCAGGCAGCCCCAGTCACGAGGGGGCTTACACAGCTCTCCTATTGCCTGCCCCAGGTGACACTCAGGTCTCCATCACTCCATCAGTACAGGCTGGTGCCCAGTGTGGTGCTGTGCTGGGGAAGGCTCCCAGCAGGTCTGCTCCATGCCAGGCAGGAAGGTTTGTCCTGCTGCCTGTAGGAGGGTGTTGCCCACACCTAGCAGGTGGGAGACCACAGTCTTGGCAAGGCAGGTCCTTAACTCCTCTGCTCCCATCAGTTCAGTATCATCATTCGGCCCCTCTTTGAGTCATTCAACGGCATGGTCTCCACAGCCAACATGGAGAGCCTCACCCAGACGTCTCTTGCCTGGCTGGACCAGCACTGCTCCCTCCCAGTGCTTCGGCCAAGTAGGTGGCCCTGCTCTTGTCTGTGGCCAGACTGACCCAGTGGCACAGACTGACAGAAAAACAGAGGGGAAAAAAGGACGGGGGCGTCCTGGGGGGTGGTGGGTCTGGCACTGCACCACGCTTCTGCCGCATGGGAGGGAAGAACCCGCGGGATATCCTGGAGCTGTGTGCTGGGTGCTTTTCCACACTCCTTTCACACCCACCACACTCCAGCTGAGCTGGCTGCTGCTGCCCTAACCTGAGAGCTCATGTCCTCCTGGCTGGGCAGGGTTCAGCCCTCCCCAAAGCCCCACCGAGTGGGATTCCCTTCACCCTTGCTGCTGAGGGCTATGGCAGGGAGCTCTCATGTGGTTCTGGGGCTGGAGGGAGGGGTTAACCTGGGCCCCTTCTAGCCCCCGAGGCACAGGGCAGAGCTGACATGGCCCACATCTCCCCACAGCCGTCCTGAGCTCCCTCCGGCAGCTGAGCATTTCCACCTCCATCCTGAACGACCCAGCTTGCATCCCCGAGCAGGCGACGCGGGCAGTGGCGGGGATGAGCCATGGCAGAGGCTCCTCTTAGCTCTCCCAGCCTTGCCAAGTCCCTCTGTGCTGCCAGATGAGTGCCCACCAACACCTTGTGCAGGCCCTGCACCCCAGGGATGGCCAGGCCCCAGAATGGCTGGTGCAGCGTGGGGCCCTGTCTTCCCTGGGCAGCGGGGCTCAGCTGTGCTGCCTGATAAAGGACTGACTCTGCACAAGGGCTCCAGTGTGGTTCTTCTGCCCTGGGTCTGCTCTGGGGCTGGGCTGGGGTAGGCAGGGGCAGGGTGAGGGCAGGGGTGGCCAGGTGAGGGCAGTGTGAGGGGAGCGATGGCCAAGTGAGGGGACGGCTGGGTGACGGCAGGGTGAGGGGAGCGATGCCCGGGTGAGAGGAGCGATGCCCGGGTGAAGGCACGGCTGGGTGAGGGCGGGCCCGGAGCGGTACCAGCCCCCGCCGCCAGGGGCCGCCCTGCGCCGAGCTCGCAGAGGGAGCCGCGTGTGTGCCCCCCCCACCATGCGGGGGGCGCATGCGCAAGCAGCGGCCGGTGCCGCCCCGCTGAGGTGGCGGCGGGAAGATGGAGGTGGCGGCGCTCGGCGGGTTGGTGTTGCCGGGTGCCCTCGCCCTCCTCCTCATTCTCCTCCTCCTGCTGCTGGCGGCCGCCCGGCGCCGGTCCGCCCCGTCTGACGGTGAGTACTGCGGGCACGCCGCGGCTGGCCCGACCCGACCCGACCCGCCCCGACTCGACTCGACTCTCCGCTCCCCGCAGGCCCCAAGGCGAACGGTGCTGTCGCCGCCGCCGCCAGGCCGGAAGAGCACAGGAAGGCGAAGGTGCCGGCGCGGGCCCGGAGGGACAAGCCGCAGCAGCACAGCTTCGCCCACCGGCTGCTGGTCGCCGCCCTCAAGGGACGGGGGGGCCCCCGGGCCCCGCCCCCCCCCCCTCCCCCCGCCCCCCCCCCACCCGCCGCTGCTCCTGCTCCAGCAGCGCCTCGCCGGCCTCGGCCTCCGCGATCGGGCGGCCCGGCGGCAAGCCCGCAGGCGGCGGGCGGGCTTGGCGCCGCTGCCCGACCCCCCC